AATTTATAGTATATAGTTTATAGCGATAGTAATTTATAGTAATTTATATTAATTTATAATCAATGATGTAATTGTGCATACTAAAAAATAAATAAATATGGGGTTCGATCTGTGCAAATGAACTTTTACTCTCAATAATAAATATCACAGGAGGTCTATTGTTAGAAAGGTGAAGTTTAGTTAAGGTTGGAAATAAAAGAGAGGTCTGGTGTTAGAAAGAAGTGTGGTAAAAGAAGAATAGCGGGTGCATAAATAATTTATAAATACAAACCTTCAAGTGTATCAAACATAGAAATACATTACAATCTCTGAGTAAAAGTGTACGGCAGTTGGAAACGACGAACAATCAAAAAAAAAGACTCAAGCTTGCATACATAAGTAATTAATATATAAGAAATTCTTGCTTGAATAGTAACTTACACATGATTCATGTTAGTAATAACAGACGTCTACTTCATATTTTTTCATGAATTATACGGATGAGGATAAGGATATGTTCACGAATAATCTAAGGAGAAACACGTTCACGAATTATATGGAAAATGCGTTCCCCAGTTGCATGGAAAATAGATTCCCATGTCGTATAGAAAATATGTTCACGAATCCTATGGAAAATACGTTCACGAATCCTATGAAAAATACATTTACGAATTCTATAGAAAATACATTTGTGAACCATATGAAAAATACACTTACAAATCATACATATGAGACACTTACAAATCATATCAGCAAAAGTAAATAGTGGATCAAAAATTTCAGGATTAATTTCTGATGAAATCAAATTAATTGGTTAAGAACTTTTTTGTAAATCTTTTGAAGATTTACTTGCAGTATTATTTGAGTCATTTAAAGAATTGCTTAGTAAAGGAGAATTATCAGGCTCTTCATCTTGAATTATTATAATATTATCATTATCAGATGGTTGATATATATTGAATAGTGATGAATCTTCTAAATGTTTTTCTATGTTTATTTCTTTATCATCATCAACAGGTAAAGGTTGTTTAAATGTATCTTTAGTCATTCTTTTAATAATTAATAATTGTTCATTAAAGTCAACTTCAAGAAATGTATTTATAGAATCTGTACTCAATTCTATATTATTTTTATTACTTGTTATATTATCTTCTTTATTAGTAGTACTATCTTTTTTATTTTCTAATTCATTGCTTTTCATATTATTGTTTGTACTATTTTCATTTTCTGATCTATTAGTTTTTATATAATTGTTATTAAATAATTATTATCTGAATCTTCATCTTTGCTATTTTCTTCTTTTTTATTTTTATTTTTTGAATTTTCATTTTTTGAATTATTATGTTTTGAAAGTTCAGAAAGTGATTTTCTTTATGTTTACATTTTGATGATAATTGTTCTTTATTTATACTAGTATTTCTAATATTAGTTAAGACTATATGATCTTATTTAGTTCTAAGATTAACATATTTCCTATTACATCTTGGACAATAACATTGTACTTTTTTTGATTTGTATATAGTTTTTTTTTACTAAATAACATTATTGTTTATTCTTATATTTTTAATATTTTATTGAATTTTTAACAAACTAATATATAGTATAAACAACTATCTTAAATACTTTTTGTAATAAATATTTGATATATATAAAACAATAGTACTAATATTTAATAAAAATAGAATAAATAATATATATATTTCAATTATTAACTAATTAATTAAAATTAAATTTTCTTGATTATATAAATAATACATGAATAATAATACATTTTATAGCTTTTCTTCAGAACATGTTTATTTTTTTCTCTTTGAAACACATTAATTTTTTTTTATTTTAAACAAATATTATAAACATTATATCAAATATAGTAATATTATGAATACAGATAGTTTTTTGAATATATACATAGAATTCTTCAAATATTTATGATTAAACACTTCTTTATTATATTTTCTCAAGTGAAAAATTCTAAAAAAAAACAAAGTTCTTTAAAAAATTAAATATATTAAACCATAACAAGGAAGATTATTCAAATGATGAAAGCTATATTCTATAGAATATAAGGGCCAAATTTCTTAAACTTATATTTTATTGAATGTATCTTTTCAAACAAAATTATTTTAAAGTAATCATTAACTAAATACAATATATAATACCAAATAGTCTAACTGTAAGAACATACTAAAATACTATTTTTGATTTATGTAATATACAATACCATGCAATATATCAAAACCAATTTGCTGTATTATTGATAGTTTAGTAAGTATATAATTTAAAAAAATAATGCAAGATTATATAAAATATAATAAACTAATTAGATACATATTTTCTAAAGAACAATTATTTTAATATAATCTAAGAATAATGATTCTAGTGTAGTAATTGGATTATCATTCTTCAAACAGTAGATTTAAAATTTAAATCCTACTAACAGCAAAATTTTTAAAAATAATCATATTTTAACAACTTAAACAAGATATTTAGAGTTGTAATCTTGTAATTCTGATTATACTAAGACTAACTTTGGAAGTATGCAATAAATAAATTTAGAAAGTATATATTCTATAAAAAGCTCTGTTTGAAAATTTTAAGTAAAAAGATAATATGATCTTTAATAGTATTATCTGTAAAAATCTTGATCTAAAGAAGAAATCTGAGGCAAATAACTCATATAAGCAAAAACTCATAAATAAAAAAGATTTACCAATCTGACTAATAGTTGATCTGAACATAAAGTTACATTATGTAAAGTTTACTAAATTGATAATATAAAAAAACTTATAAAAATAAATAAGACATTATAATATTATAAACATAAATACTAAAATTGTATAAACTCTATAAAAGTATAGTAGTTTAATGATTAGCTTTAACTACAAATATTAGTTTAGCTATAGTAAGTTTGAGTTAGCTATAAATAGGAATACAGAAAACTTTAGAAGGTTTATTTTAAGAATAAATTAGTTCTAAAATTAAGACAATGATTTAGAATAATTCAGTAAAGTTAATATAGGTAATAGTTTTAGAAACTTTAAATGAAACATCCAAGCAGAAATGTTAAATATAGTAACTAGTAGCAAACCCTTAGATAGACTCCTTAAATAGATATTATTGAAAAGTTACATGTGTAGCCAGTTGTATACTCATTTTGTAATAGTTTTTATAAAATTATATTATCTAAAAAAGTATTAATAAAGTTAAAAGACCAAAAACGTTATTTTAATAAATAAATAAATAAAATTTTAATATTATTTATCAACTCTCCCTTGTGGATCTCTCAACCAAAATTTCTAGAAAACAAAACATAGAAAAACTCAAAAACTAAACTAAAAAACAAGACTTAAGATACTAACAAAAAAGACAGAATAGCAAAATTTATACATAGTTTAATAGAAGAATATGAAAAAAACTAGAACAACACCAGAGAACAGCACATAAAAAATTTTAATGAAAAATAAAAATTTTTTCTTAAAAAATTGGGGAACTACTATAATCCTGTATTGTAGATCCTTCAAGTTATACAAAAAGTCACAATAAGATGGGCAAAGTAAACAAACAAACATGTATATCAAACCAGTTTAGTCTAGATAAAACATGTGATATGAAAGTATATAAAAAATGATTATGCAATATAATCAAAAGTCTGTTAGAAGAATATAGATGAAACCTTAATGTAATTTTTATAAGAAAGGCATATGAGGCTATGAACAGTGTGTATAATAAAATCTTCTTCAATAAACCAAGCAAGACATATGCAATACCAAGTAAAGAAGATAATATCATTGCAATACTTATAAACCAAGATCCAAATAAAGTAGCACTTCTGCAAATAACAAGAGAAATATTAGAAAAAATAGAAAGAGAACAACTAGAAAGAAGCTTGATTTTGTAAAACAATATTAAAATAGAATAAGTATAGAAAAAAAAGAAGATCAACAACAGACAAATAAGAGAAAGAAGAGACAGGAAGAGCAGAAAGAAGAAATAAAAAAAAAAAAAGAGAATGAAAAGAACAACAAAAGCTTACAAACAAATATTAATATTGCAAGAAAACAAGTAAATATAAAGGTAGAGCAAACAAGTAATAGCCAAATAGAAGTTGAATCATCCACTTATAAAGAAAAAAAAGAAGAACAGAAAAGAAAACAAAAACAAGAAGACATAGAAATGAATAGGAAAGAATCAAGACAAAAATCAACAACAGAAGAAAAAGAAAAGAAAAAAAGAAGAAAACAAGAAATTGAAAAAGAAATTAATATATTTGGAGTACCACTTAAAGAAAGCATTTGGAACTAAGCAAAAAAGACTGCAATCAAAACAACAGCTTACTTGCAAACATATGTGCATATAATGTATTTGGAAGACCAAAAAAGAATATATGAACTTTACTAGATAGTCATTAAAAATAATGAGTATATCAAAAACATTGAAGATGTTTTTAAAAAGAAAATCTATAGATAGAGATAGACTTTGACTGTGAGTATGGCAGAAGTAAGGCAATACAAAGAATTAGCAAAAAAGAAAATAATTAGTACAGAATAATCACAGAAAAAGAAAAAATAGACAAAAAGAAAAAGGAAAAAACATATGATAAAAAATATTAGAAAGAAAGAAACAATATATTAAAATTGAAGAAAAAGGAATATGAATGCCAAGAAAGTAAAAAAGAATCTACAAAAGATCAAATAGATACTAAAGAAGAAGAAACACAAAAATATAAATATATAACAATTTGGAATTTACCAGTAGATATAAACAGAAAAAAGATTGAGTATATGTACAGAAGATTTAAAAAAGCATATATAGTAAGAATCAAGAGATCCAAATATAAGTCTCTTATAGTAATCCAAGTAGAAAAATCAGAAGAAGAAGACATACCATGGTCTATACCAATTAACAGTAACAAACTAATAAGAATAATAGAAGATGAAGAAAATTATGAAGCAAGACAAAAACAAAGTCAGTATATAGCAAAAATAATAAAGTTGCCAAGTAATGCTTCAGAAGTTTTGCTACTATGCCATCTAAGAAGCAAAGGTATGAAATTAGTGTATATTCCACCAAACAGAAATAGGAATCAAAGAAGAACAGCAATAATTATATTCACAACAGAAAAGAAAATGAAAACAGCTCAATAAAAACCAATTAAATATAATAATTTTCAAATATTCTGGCTAAACAAAAGAAAGAAAGAAATGAAGAAAAAAGAAAGTGTCAGTAAAAGAATAGAAAGAAGCTGAGAAAGAACTAACCAAAGTCTGAATAGAAGACACACTGAAAGAAGAAGTGGCTCTTAAATACAAGATGCAGAAGAGTGGTTAAGAAATAAAAATGCTACAGATAGAGGCAGATTCTAAATAAAGAACACATCAAAATAGAAAGTAATCTCTAGTTACAGAACATAAAAGAATGATTAGGAGTCAAAAACATGAATGCAGAAAGAAATGATAAAAATATAATCAAAAAAAAAACAAGACTAAATACACAAATACATGCAGAAACAAAGCAAATGGAAGAAGTTTTAGGCCAAATCTTGAACAGACTAAATCAGCTAGAGAATACTCAGCTAAGTATAAAAGAAGGCCTGACCAATCACTTCTAAGGATACCCAAGTTGAGTTTATGAATATGGATGAGAGATCAGA